CGAAGGCTGGGTACGTGACAGGGAGAGTTTGGTGGAGCCGGTCGCATGCAGTTAAGCGACCGTTGGCCATGCCAGGCGCAGAGCTTGCAGGAGGTTCTTTTATGCACAAAAAAACCGGCTTCCTCAACCTGAGAGCAGTAGACGCTAGTAGACGCTGTCCCAGAGCCCTCGGGTAGTTTGGTGGGACCTTTTAAGTAAGCCGGGAAGCTTCGTTGATATTGTCTACACGATGCCTGTTATTGACAATGAGCACTAGGATACCGCTGTTTATGCTTCCGGCCTTCACCTATTCTGAGCCGTGCCGGGAGGTTTTCCCTTATTCTTTTGGAAAGACGCTGACTCGTGTGATCAAGATAACCTTATCTGCTGTTGTCTCTGATGATGAGTTTGAGCAAGACTGCGAAACGTCAGGCTAGTTATTTTCTTGTTCCAGCGACCGCATAATCTAAGCCAGACATTTCCACTTAACTTTCCCTAGTTCTTCTCGTTTATACCTCTTACTCACTCGTTAACAGCGGGGCTGCGCTCTCGTTGAAAGGCCGTATGCATACGCCCTCCTGCAATCGGGCGACCCTCTTTAAACCACCTTGCGACGAAAAGGTTGACAATTGAGTTCATTTTTAATCCGCACAGCCCATGAAAGTGTGCATCGTAGCTGACAAGGACCTTAAGCCAACCGACACGTACACATATGGCTATGTAAATGGGCCGTCTTGTAGAATTCCGATCATTGGCCAGCATGTTATAGTCACTATTTGCATCACCCTAAATAACAGTCTCTGAGAAGAACTTGTAGCTCAGGGATTTCAGAACTCCCCTAAATATTGCATACATTGTGTCTCTTCCTACCTTATCTGCAATTGTCTATGTTAATGATTTTAAACGAGCATCCGAAACGTCAGGCCAGTAAGCTTGTCCCAGCGATCGCGTCTTCTGTTTCGAGATCAGAAATTGTCACTCTTCTCTCCCCAGCCCTTGTCTTTAATACTCCTTAATCGCTTCTTGAC